ATGCTTCTATCAGGGCTGCAGGAGGCTGCATCCCATAGCGAGACACCGAGTGAATATTATGAAAAAGAACTACAAACAGGTCTTATATTCTAGCTTTTCTTTCACAACTTGCCCCTCCTCCCTAAACACAGAATTTTCTCTGCAGCTCCTCCAAAGTAAACTCTAGTCTGTTTCTCTAATTATTGCTCTACTTGTCCAGCCTGTGAGTCGAAGTGGATCTCCATGCCTTAGTAGGTCTGCAGATTGTCCGTCCTCTCTCCATGTTCAGAGGATGAACTGAGCAGAGCTGCTAGATGCTAACAACTAAGCATATTGATAAAGAACTGAGCCCAGTTAAAACTGGACCAGAACTTTCCCTCTGACCCATCTGCTGGGTTCCCTCATCTTTATGAGGCTGTTTGTTCTATGATGTTCTCTATGGAACATCAAAACAGATTCTCAGAGCCATTTATCAAGGCACTAATGTTATACATATGAGATATAACTGTTATGGTTTTCCTCTTTTGGGACTCTGACTTTTTAGTTTTCAGTTATTCTGTTTTGTTGATCTTTAGTTTATTTTCTATCATATTCCAGCAGTCTTTAGTTACTCTCCGTTTCCCCCTTGTGCTTGTTTCCTTTCCCCTTGGCTTCCTTCTAGATGCTTCCATCCACACCTGCTCCCAATCAGCTCATCCTTTGTTCTGTTCCTCTTATATACACCACCTCTGCAGTCACTCAGGGCTGGTTTGGTGTTGTTTTGCTGCTTCCTCATCTCTGGCTTCCCATGTGAGTTTTCCCCCTGATGTTTTCTGTTTTTTTTGGTTCTTGTATTTTTGTGGGAGTAAAATAAAATGTAAAATCTAGTGATGGTGAGATGAAGCCTCATGAGGCATTGAACCGTTTGGCCAAATTGCTTCAACAATCTCCACAGTTCATGAGGCTTCATGTCACCACCTACTGGTGGAGTGCAGAACTACAGTTTGTAATAAAAATCTGATTTTTTTTTTGCAATTGTTTTTCTTTTTTCCCCTTTTAACTTCCTTTGAAATTGTTAATGGTTGGTGTGTATAATGAAATCCTTTGTAAGTTTTTTTTTTAGCGTAAAATTTCTTAGAACAATCATTTAAGGTGCACAGTTTTTTCTGCCATTTTAGTGAAATAAACTCAAACAGGCAGTGAAAGTGTTTGTGCAAATTGGGCAATGATGAGCAAAATGAAAGGTGTTAGTCATTTTTATTCAAACATGATAGTTTTTCCACGTTTTTTTGGCTTTAATCAGGTTGGAAGTTGTGTTCAACCAATCTTTTGGCTAAACCGACCTAAATTACCCAATCTATATTTTTACTCGGGCAAAACAATGCAAATTAGTCTCATCAGCCAAAATAATTAAGTTTAATCACAACTTTCAAAAGTCAAAGACGGGTCTTGAACCATTAACCTCTAGCGTGAAAGTCTGAGTTTAACAATTGACGCCACTTATACAGAGACCCATACCACAGAGAAAACACTACTTAATAGTGACGTGTTCACACTAACTTTGTCTGGTGGTTCGCTCAGATTTTGATCATTACATTGTTTATTCTAACCAAATTAGCTTTAAGCAACTAGATTGGTTGTTTTTCCAACCAATCTATTCTTAGAATTTATCCAAACTCTATCCAGCTGAGAGCATCTCTCCTCCAAACTCCCACATCTTGACTGAACACTGAGGCTGTTTAGATGCCTCTCAAAATTCTTGCACTTTCTGAATCACTTCCCGAAGCGGTCACGTGGTATCATGGTAGCGAGGCCTCGGACGTCATCAATTTTGGCCCCTCCTCTAAATGAATCACGCCTCAACACACGGTTCGTGGAAACGCCCCCTCCATTACTCAACACATGCCTCGAAGCCTCGCTTAATCTCATAACATCGCTAGTAAAATCACACTCTCCACATCTCTATATGCTAAAAGGTGTTTTTAATCATATTCCTGCTGCTCCAAATGTGAGAAAGTTCAAAGGCTGTAAGTCGGGGGGCCTTTTGCATCTACTCGCTCTTTTAATGGCTTCCTTGATAAGAAGTGACATTTGTTCCATTATAGTTGTAAGCAAAGAACACGCTGTGTAAATGGAAATAAAAAAAAATTCAGTCCAGAAACAATCTTTAGAAAATGTCTTACCCCAAAGAAAAGGTTGTGAGATTTCTCTGATTTTATTTGTT